GTTTGGTTTCTTTGTTGTTATTTAATTTAGTTATAAAATCAGTTACACCTTCATGACTGAACGAACGATGGGCTGACAACCTTTGAAATTCTTTCCTGTAAAGTCACAGACAGGCTGACGCATCTTCCCAACGTAGCATTCAAGCGGTACCGACCGTGTTTATGTGAAATGCGACTTCACAGGCGTGCTGGGACAGGAGCAGGAGACCGTAGGTATGCCCGCTCCCCACCCTCTGCCTATCTCTCTGTTTGAATGTGTTTTTTCCTGCCTGAGGCCACAAATTTCTATATGTTTAGCTCTGTGTTGTACAGGATTTTTAACGTGTACAACACAATAAAAGTTTTTTTTTATGATTTGAAAAATTGTGCCACCTCTTTAAAGAGAAACACCCTTCTCTATTTTACGTCCAGATTCTTATAAATGACCTTATCGAGTAATCAAAAGAGATTTTGCGTGGTTAGGGTGGAGCTCTGAAAAGAACATTCAGATCCTTTCACTTTGAAATGGTGTCTTGGTCTTTCACCTGGTGTGAGTGTGCAGTGATTATTATTAACCCAAAACATGAAGTGAATCCAAACACTGGTTGTCACATGGAAAAGTGGCAGTGGATTTATTTCATATGCAGTAAAATAAGAAATAAATGGGAAGAAATAAAAACAACAACAACACAAAAATCATAACAAACGGTACCATGGGAGTTTATACAAAAATGGAAATTAGTTGCAAAGAAAGTGACACAAAAACTGAATGTCTCCAACATATTCTGAAAACTTTCTTTAAACTAAAAAAAAAAGTCTTTTAAGCTTTACAATAATCCCAGTTTAAATCTAAATACATGCTATTGGACCTTATTTCTAACATTCAATTCTAACATTTGCATAGGTTGTCACATTAATTGTCAGTTTATTAATAAAGAAGCATCCCATCCCACTACGCTACTTTGACCCCACCTGCAAATAAACATGCTGAAAACAGTAAACAGGTCTGAAATATGCCCCTTTAAAGCCAGCGCTCTTAAATGAGCCCAGGCCAGGAGAAGTGGGAAGACTACTCCTACACGTAGTTTTTGCCTCCCGCAGGGTGGGACTGGGGGTAGCGTTGAGCCGGCCCAGCGTCCTGCTTGGGGCAGTGGCAGCTGAGGAAGGCCCCTCCGATGATGACGAGAATGGCAGATGCCCAGCCGACGTACAGGGCACTTCCAAACTCATACCTGTGGATGAAACACAACACGCATTGTGCT